TTCATTGAACTATATAACATAATAAAAGGATTTGGAGTTAAACAAAGCACAATAAAATTAGTTCTATGTACCTAAAAATTAAAATTTTGGATTTTTAAAACATATTTTTTGAACATATTAGATTTTGTAATATTTTCTCCACAAGTTTGGGACCCCCGCGGAAAAACTTTTTCGTATTTCATTTTCCATAGCTTTGAATTTATTCATATTTTCCCGTCTGTAATGCGCGAACGATTGTTCCCTTTTCGAAAATGAAAAACGGATTGAAATAATTCCTGATAATGACACAGCGTTAGCAAGAGAAAATCAAGGTACCTTAATCTTCTCTTGCCTGTGATTAAGGTAATTTTCTGATGCTCGTATATTTGGACAAACGAATTAGGAAAGCGGCCCGAAAAACAGAGTATGATCGCGTTTATTTTGCGGATATTTTGCAGGAAAACTGCGTCAAGCCCCGCAACCCAGAAGGCATTTGGCTGAACTCTGACCCAGTCTCCAGCCGAGAAGAATCCCGAAGAGTAGAGTGGGCGAGTTTGTCAGGGAGAAGTGTTGCTTTGCACGTACGATCAGTCTTGTATTTGCAAAGACTCATACATTTTCTGGAGATCGTCACGCTACGAGATTATATTCCTCACAGTGCTCAACGTCAACCACGTACGAAAAGTCTGCTGACAAACAGTGGGCTGACTTCATTGTCTGGTGATTCGCAGTCAAACAGAGACAAAAACATCTGGAAATGGCAGATTGTGTAACTCGCGTAGAACTTCATTTGTCCTGTAGAGGACTGCTTGATAAAGACACTACTTCAAAATCAGATCCTCTATGTGCCATGTATATTCAAGATGCACACGGAAAATGGGTAGAGGTAGGCGTGCTTCGTACGTGACTCACAACGTAATAGCTATAAATAAAGTTTGTATACTTTTAGGTTACCTTAGCTTAATGTGTTAAGCTTATATAAAATGTCCAAAGTTTACATGGAAGAGTTCATCTTGTGTGAAGCTTTGTTTAAGAGACAAACTCTAACCGTTGAAAAGTAAAGGCCAGCTCTAACTTATGGAATCCTAGGTGATCAGCTGGGAATTGATTGAAGAATTTATTAAAATTTAACAAGTTGTTTAGGCTTTAATCTTTAGTTAGATATCACCCTCTAGCGTTTGATTAATTTTATTAAACATTTCTTATTTCGATTTTTCTTTGTTTGGTTCTTCAGTTTCAGATTTTTCTATAAAATAGAGTAAGCAAAATTGTCTAAATTTAAATATCTGGTTTGAAAATGGTGAATTTACATAATACTAATATAGATAGAACCCTGCGCACACTCTGATTGCTTTCAAAAACCCATGTTTTATCAGAGTATAAAACATAGAAAAAGCGTGTTTTATTGCTTCTCGCCACATTACCTCTATATCTTAAAGCAAATGAAGAAGCCTAAGCCGTGTATTACACTGTGATAAAACACTTCGGTCATTTGAGAACACTCGAGAAATGTGTAGAAAACACTCGCCTGCGGCTCGTGTTTGTGTTTTCCTTGTGTTCTCAAATGCCAGTTGCATTTTATCACAGTATAATATACGGCTTATTTAAAGCATATTTTATTTTGATTTATCACTGAGCTGTACTGAGAGGTAATTTAAATTTTATAGTCATTGCACCAGAAAAAAACACTGTCTTAAAATGACATGCCTGTCAGGAAGTTTTGAAGACGGTGCTGTTTTATTGAAGGTGGCTGATTTTAAAATGCCATCAGTTTCTAAAGAATTGGAAGATCAGCCTAGTGGATGGATGAAGCAGTTGCAAGCAAGGATTAGTAGACAGTGATTTGCGCTGGTAGCCAGCTACTTTTGACAACCCTTAAACTTATTTGTTAGTCAGCTGTTCATTTCAAGCATGGCTAGTCCATCTATTTTTTATGATAAAAATCAATTGAAACAACAACAGCTAAACTGTAGGCTACTGACTATCTACGACACAATTTATAGTGAGTAGTGTTAAGGTAATAAGAGAACAGCATCTGTGGTAGAGTGCTAACTACATGTAGTAGATTTATACTAATAATTCCTGATCAGTTCAATTCTACCTGCAATCTGATTGGTTGAGTGACTGCAGACTGCATTCTGCATTTTACCCTCAGTTTACATTTTATCCTCGGTCTGCAGTGTGCAGTC